AACGCCGATTGTCTCACGGGTGTCATGGCGTCGGCGGTGCGCGGCCGCGAGTATCGTCGCCGTGTCTTCTCACTTTTTCCGGGTAAGTTTCGTCCGCGGGTGCTCGCGCGAGTGCCGAGCGTCCAGCGCGGACGATCGCCGCCACGGCCGGCGATCAACGGCCGTAGCTTCGCGAGACCCGTACAAACGTTCGTCGTCGAAAGGTCTCGCGCGCGCGCGAGACGCGTATTCAGTGCCGGGCGCCGCTTGAAGAATCGCGTCGTGTTTTTCGGAGTTAATCGGTTGCATTTGTTGTCGACCTACGAGGGCTATCGAAGAACTCGCCCGCGCGAGTGCCCGCGTCCCGGCGCCGTCCGATATTCGCCGTCGAGGGGCGAGCGCGAATTCGAGGCGCCACGACGCCACCGCCATCTCGCGAGGTACGCGCGCGCTTGTTGGTCAATTTGCTCGCCGTGCGCGGTCAAGTGGTGCGGTGAACCGTGAGCGCGATCGAGATTCGCGGGCGCGAGCGCGACGCGTGATTTATCGCGAGCGCGACGCATCGAGGGACCGCCCGGGTGGATTAATACAACGTCGGCTCGCCGTCCGCGATACTACGCCGCCCACGGGCGCTCGCGCGAGCTTCCTCTCCCGCCGAATGCCGTCGACGCGCGGGCAAAATTTGCACCCGTGCCCCCCTCGTCGGCGCGCGGGGTGCATTTAGCGTACGTTCTGTGTGACGCGCGCGACGCTCTGGGATCATTTTATCTCGTCGAACATTCGCGGACGCGAGTGCGACGCGTCGAGGGACCGAGTGGATCAACTGGAACGCCGGATCCACCGTCCACGAGCGGGTGAGTGGCTCGCAAGCTCCTTCTCTTTCCGAACTTGTCCGATTTTACGGCGCGCGGGCAATTTACCAGCCGCGCACCTTCCTCGTCGGCGCGCGCGCGCGGACGATTTCGCAGCACGTTCCATTTGACGCCCGCGACGCTTTACGAATCATCCTACGTCGTTTAGTAAACGTTGAACAAGAACGAGCGACGCTCGCGAGGGCCGCGGGCGACAAATGGAATGTGCGCACTGGATATTACAGGATTACGTGTGCGTATGCCTCGGGTCGCGCGAGGCTGTCGTCTTTTTTTCCGTCGAGATGATCGAGCGGAATTACGCAGCGCGCTCCGGAGAGACGCGGGGCGTCCGCCCGCGTATCCCGGAGAGAGGGGGAAAAAAAACCGTCTCGGTCCGCGATAATGCGTCCGCGGCGCGGACGCCTGAATTTTTCATCGTCATTGTCAGAGAGATACGACCGGGCGCGGGGAATGGTGGGGGGGGGGGGGGGGGGGAACGTCGTCGTCCTCTTCTCGAAATTCCATTGTCAACAGAGGGTCGTGGCGCGAATGCGCGATGTTTCGGCTATTCTCGTCATCGCCGTCGCTCGCTCCTCGTCCTAAGGGCGTCTCGGATAATTCCGACGCGGAATGGAGCAGGTGTTAACGACGCCTCGTGTTTAGTCTGCCCGCCCATATTTTCGACGCTTATCCCGTCGCCGTTGCGTCCATAAAAAAAAAAGTCTCGTTAAGGGAGAGCGACCGAGGCGGAGAGACAGAAAGAGAGAGAGAGAGAGAGAGAGAGAGAGAAATACAGATATAGAGAGAAGGGCTCTTCGCTAAGGGAACCCTTCGGCCCTATTTCGGTAAGAGAGCCTCGTATAATGCGTGTCCTGCGTGTGCGCACCGTCATAAATACATCCGCGGCGGCGGCTGGCAGCACCGGGGGTGGCTCACACCCTCCCCTCACCCCCCCCTCCGTCGTCCCTACCCTTCCCTTCCCTTCCCCTAAGTGCGAACGTAAACTTCGTTAACGAGAAACTAATTCTCCGCTCGCAGTGGCATAAGAAAGTTTTGCAATTTGGTGGACGAGGGCGGAAAGGAGCCCCGTGGATGCAGGCGGTGAATTACGGTGTAAATTAACACGCTACTCAAGGTCGCTGATGCAGTTTACCCCGACGGCTGACGACACTTTTGTCTTTCGTACGGCGCGGGATTCTCGATTCCTCGAGGCATTACGTGTCGGGCAGGCGGGTGAGGGGCGCGGGGGAGGGAAGGAGGAGAAGGGTACGCCGCGTCGGCTTGAATATCGCTCGAAATGCGATTTGCCCGTAGCATCTGAGATTATTACGCGCGCGCGGTAATATTATTTGCCGCTTATTATTCCGATTACCGTTCCCCGATGCGCGAACAGTCTGTCGACTGTCGCCCCCGCGAAACGCATGCCGTCGCGTCGCGTCGGGCCGGTTCCCGCGCTCCTAGAGACCCTTGTAATCAGACCGGCCATAAGAGTTCGTCAAATTCCTGCGAGTGAGAGAGAGAGAGAGAAACACTTTAGATTATTTGTAATCAGACGAAGGGCGCCTTCAGAAACATCACCCGAGTGGCTACAGTGTATCATTCTATCCTTGTTTAACATACGGGCGAGCAACAAGGATAGAATGATACGCTGGGGTACTCGGATGGTGTTTCCGAACGTAGCCCAGATCGTACGAAATGAAATGAAATCGGTGGGACAACGTTATGCTAGTTGCCACCGCCCTGGGCCAGTCTACGCGCTCCGTGTCCGCTCGCGGGTTTCTTTCCGCCCGCGAGATATCTTCGTCCACGTGTCCGTCAACGCGCTCGCGCAACAAAGTGACGAGCGGACGTCGCTATCGCTTCCGTCTCCCCCACACCGAAACAAACCTCCCGATATCAGTGAAATTCCCCCGCGACACACCCGCGGTCGTACCTCACGCAGGTACACACCGGCGCGTCCACCCTCCCTCCGAGAAGCCCATTTCTCCTCCTTAAGAAGTTTACCCCGGCTCGCCTGCTCCCCGAAGATCGCGATGACGACAAGCGAGGCGCTCCCGTACGAGGAGCACGGGACGCCGGGCGCCGCCTCGCGTATCCCTTTACAACGGCATTAATAGGATACCGCGCCGCCTCTCGCCGAACGACCTCGTTATGCGTGAGTATACATACGCGCGCGTTTACCCAAGTCGCGGAATAGAAAAGCGCCCTCCTCCCACGCTCCCCCCGCCTCGCTGCTGCTCCTCGCTGGAGTCCATAATCGCCTCTTCTTCCCGCGCGCGGAAGATGCGAGAGAGAGACACGGGCCGCCTGCGCCTGCTCCTATCACCCCTTATCCGCGACGTTAAACACTGCCGTTACGTCACGCGCGCGACGGGAGAATCTGATCTCCGATCGACCGGTCTGCGGGAGGCAGTTTCCCTCCCCCCCCTTTTCGATAGGCGTTCGCAAAGACGCGAAATAACGAGTCTTTTGGTTTATTGGACACAGTCCTCGGTCGTGGACGCGAGGCTTTAGATCGCGTAATCGTCGCGAAAGAAAATTAATCGTGATTGAACCCCGACGTTGAAAACCAGCTGTCTCATATTAGAAGTCCATCTCGTAGCGGGGGACTCTCCTCTGATAACCGCGTTCAACGAGCGGATCATTTCTCGACGCGGCAGCGCAGCCGGTTTTCGGATGTACGATTCGTTAGAGATACGCATTTTTTTTTTAAATTCATCATCGTGTTTACGAGAATACTTTGTTATTCCGCAAACAGAATTCCATCGACGGATAGCCGGGTCCGTGTGATTGACGTATGATCGATTGATATTTTATGCAGCATTTTATACAGTTCATCGAGAATCGATTATACCGCGAACGTGGCGCGCCGAGATGCAGCGTCACGCGTTAACCCTTGACTATCTTCGCGGGGTCGATTTTTACCCTGTGAATAATAAATGGAGTTTAAATAAATTTCTTAAATACGAACTTTGACGATGGCGAATGAAACAGTATTCGTCGTACTTTGCACTGAAGCACTTATTTGTGAAAAGATACCGTGTTATTTTTACGAAATCACAGCGTTTTAATCAGTCACATTTTCCAAGAAAGTACGGACGTATCAACCCCAGCTTTTACAGGCGGAAATTTCGTGTGCGCGGGTTAGTTTTTACACACCCGCAGAAAAAATTTCCGGTTCCAATGCTACTACATTTCAGTGTATCATAAAGTAGGCTCGATAGAGCGCCGATCCATATTTATTGTAGAGAAAGGAATATTTCAAGCTTAAATGAAAAATTCTAAGATCTAGAATCGTCCTTTGTCGAATATCGCGGTACCGACTTCGTGCGTTTTAAACGCAAGAGTACGTAAACTTACATTTGTACAAGTTACTCCCAGTGTAGTAAGTCAATCTTTTTAAATTCGATAGAGGAGAATAAGAATTATTGATTTTCTTTCGATATTGTCTTATTTTTATACTGAACGAGGTTGTGCGAAATATAAGTGCGTCAAGAATATTTTTCGCCTCGGTAACAGAAATCCCTTCTGAGGGTGCACGAAGACAGTCAAGAGTTAACGCACCGGCGCCGAGCGTTCCGCGCGTTTCCAATGCGTTTCCGCGAGAGGAACCAAGGCGGGGGGGAATCGGGGGAATGCTCGAGTTTCGCCGGACGGTACGGGCGCGTAATTGCCAGACGACATTTGCGTGGTTACGTGTCGGCGGTACAGGCGTGACGTAACCGGCGCCGGTATTGAGGGAAAATATCACGGATCACGTCGCGGAATAAGGAACCGGCCCCGCGATACGCCTTGGTCAGCATCACCGTGGGATAACGAAAAGTATAATAGAAACAGGCGCGGGCGCGCGCACACACACACACACACACACACGCGCGTACATTTGTAACGGAGGAATCAAATTACGTCCTCCGGATTTACTCGGGGAAAATCCGCGAAAATGGTGGGTGATACCGTTCGAATTACAGGGACGGCGGAGCGAGGGGAGCGATATTATTTACCGATAATTTACTGCGGTCGTGTTATCCTCTTGCCCGTCCTGCGGCCGGATATACAGGGGGGAGGGGGAGGGGCAGATTGATATATCCACAAAGCGCCCGTTGGGAATGTTGTCCATTTCGTCTTACGCCTATATCGCGCGGTATCGAGGGCTCCGCGCGTGTATGTACGTATTGCAAATGATACAGGTATTGCGGATACACGCGGCTCGTGTGTACCCGACGTACGTCGGTCAACGTACTTCGCGGCCGGAGATTCAAGTCGGTTTTCATTCCAGTCAGGCCAGATTTGTCCTGCTGACGCGAAGATCCCTCCGTGCGATGATCCAAATGTCGCGCAAGGAACATTTCGCCGTGACAATTTTTTTTCGTATGAAATTGAACGGATTTCATTCTAAATTGAGCCAACTCGAAGTAACTCTAAATAGGCTGTCCAACTTAATATAGAACGCAAGGTTGTCTCCACAGGGTTAGCTGGAAAAATTCAGGGGGTAAAAGAAACCATGGTACATTCCAGTTTTTACCGTCCCGGACTTTATCCAATGGAATGAATTGGCAAAAATTATAAAAATAACGAGCACTCAATTAAATATATTTATACAAACATTAGTCATTTTTTAAGTAATTTTTAATTATGTTGCCAACTTTCATGCTCGCAAAATTTGGCCTCCTTTGATTACTCGCCGCTGTTAAATAAAACACGAGCGAAATAATTATTACATATTTAGTCAAACGAATTTAATTTCTCGGGATTAGATGGTCTCGTGTTTAGGTGTGAGAAATACGGGAGATACAGTTGGTACGAAATATGCACGGAGAAAAGTTTGAAAGATATCGTTGCTGAAGGAAGGCCGGGATAAAAATCGCCGGACCGAAAGGAAATCGCGACGCGATTGTGAATTCGGTGCCTCGGCGGCGTCGCGTCGTGAATTTTTTTCGTCTCGATCGTACATTCGGGCGATTCCGAAACCGCGCACTCGCGTGCACGCGTTAAGACACGCGGCC